AAAATATTTATACTGAATTGCAACATTAAGAAAGACACATGCATTAGCAGGAGTGATTCAGAACAATGTGCCCACGAAGTTTATTTTTGAATCAAAGTTGAGAAGGCTGTGTGTCTACAAACATCAAATGACTCATTTTTCGCTAATTACTGACACCTGCAGCCGATTCACTCGCTGCTAAAACTCAGCATTTCAGTTAATTTCTGCTCTGATTAGTGTGGTAACAAATGCATCTCCTACTTGATATAGAACTGCAGAAGGCTGCACAATGACTTTGGGGGCTTCCAACTTTCTTCCTAAAATTCTAGCAGAGAAATCTAGAAATGGTAATGGTGGAGCTTCACAGCCTGACCCAGGTGTTCAGAGCTCCCTCCACCAAAGGGCAGGGCTGCTTTGAAGCCAATCTCTTAAGATGGGATAGTGGGCCATGCTCAGTGGCTCAGGCCTGTAATCCCAGCACTTTGGGAGGCTGAGGCGGGTGGATCATGAGGTCAAGAGATCGAAACCATCCTGGCCAACATGGTGAAACCCTGTCTTTACTAAAAAATACAAAAATTAGCTGGTTGTGGTGGCACGCGCTTGTAGTCCCAGCTACTCGGGAGGCTGAGGCAGGAGAATTGCTTGAACCCAGGAGGCGGAGGTTGCAGTGAGCCGAGATTGCGCCACTGCACTCCAGCCTGGTTTCTGGTGACAGAGTGAGACTCTGTCTCAAAAAAAAAAAAAAAAAAAGAAAAGAAAAGATGGGTTAGTGGAGCCTGCAGAGCTGGGGTCAGACAATCCTGGGTTCGAATTTCTGCCCTGCCATTCACATGCTGTGCCATCTTTTTTTGCCCTGCCATTCACTTGCTGTGCCACCTAGAGCAAATCGCTTAGACCCTCTGAGCCTTACGATGGAGAGAAATGATCAATCCCATATCACTGGGACATCATCCAGGCAAAGTGCTGGAACATGGGAGGTGGTCCATCCTTACTATTCCCATGATTACAGCTCAAGATCAGACCCACTTTTATTTCCCTTCCTTCCTTCCTTCCCTCCTTCCTTCCTTCCTTCCTTCCTTCCTTCCTTCCTTCCTTCCTTCCTTTTCCCTCTCTCTCTCTTTCTCTCTCTCTCTCTCTCTCTCTCTTTTGAGATGCAGTCTCCCTCTGTCACCCAGGCTAGAGTGCAGTGGCACAATCTTGGCTCACTGCAGCCTCCACCTCCCAGATTCCAGCGATTCTCCTGCCTCAACCTCCTGAGTAGCTGGGACTACAGCTGCGTGCCACCACGCCCAGCTAATTTTTATATTTTTTTTAAGTAGATACAGGGTTTTGCAATGTTGGTCAGGCTGGTCTTGAACTCATAAGCTCAAGCGATCTACCAGCCTCAGACTCCCAAAGTGCTGGGATTACAGGTGTGAGCCGCTCTGGCCAGCCCAGACCCACTTTTCTCAACCCTCAAAACCATCCCTGCCGAAGTGACCCCACCTTTGAGTTCCCCACCTTTAGCTCCTGATGATTTCGACTGCTGCTGTGTGGTTATGTCTGGTTCCTGCCTCCAGCCAGCCCCAGATGTGCAAGATAGAAAAGCAGGCCTTTTTCTTTCCCAAGCCTAACGCTCTGTATGGAGAACACCAAAAAAAGAGAGAGAAAGAAAGAAAGAAAAGGAAAAAAGATAAAAGATTTGATAGTCACCATGTGTTTGGCACCCAGCGTGTAATGGCAATAATAATGTTTTCTCTGTTCCAAGCTGCTTTGCAGAGCTCTTTATAGGCATTGACTCATTAAATCTTCATGACTCCCGTGAGATACATACTCTCATTTCCCCATTTTATGGATGAGAAAACCGAGACTTCAGAGAAAAATAGTCCAAGAAGATATAAACAGGCAATTCACAGAAGAGGACATCAAAATTACCTATCGGGCTTAGAAAGAGTTGTTCAACCTCACAGGCAGTCAAGGAAGTGCAAATTAAATTAATTATGGGATACCATTTTTCATCTGTTAGACTAGAAAATAAACAGTAACTTCCAGCGCCACAAGAACATGAGAAGCCCGGTACTCAAATTCCTTGTTCATGAGTGTGAATTGCTTTAAACTTTATACAAATTAACCTTACAATGGCTATTAAAATTTTAAATGCATGCTCTTTGAGCAAGAAACCTCACTTTTGGGAATCTGTCCTACACAAGTAAAACCAACGACGCATAAAAAATATAGAGGAGGATGTTTATTGTAGCACTGTTCGAAACAAGAAAAATGAATGATTTTTTTTTTTTTCTTTTTTGAGAAGGAGTCTCACTCTGTCACCCAGGCTGGAGTGCAATGGCGTGATCTCGGCTCACTGCAACCTCCGCCTCCTGGGTTCAAGTGATTCCCCTGCCTCAGCCTCCTGAGTAGCTGGGATTACAGGCGTCCGCTACTACACCCAGTTAATTTTTGTATTTTTAGTAGAGATGGGTTTTTACCACGTTAGTCAGGATGGTCCTGAACTCCTGACCTCAGGTGATCCAACTGCCTCAGCCTCCCAAAGTGCTGGGATTACCTGCCAGAAAATGAGTGATTCTTACTGCATGGTTTGCAGTGGAAGAAAAGGCAGCAACTCAGGGATGGTGTAGCATTGTTCGCAGTGGGGGAAGAGAGAAGCAAACTAAATTTTCTATAGATTAGCTGGATACATTTAGGCATATCCATATTATAGAATACTATGTAGCAGTTTCAAATAATGAATTAAAACTACTGCTGGATTGCTGAGTGAAAAATCAACCCAACCTGCTCCTTGAAATGTGTCACAAAGAGAGCAACGCTTTTGAATAACGAGAGACCGTGCTTCATTGTATTACAGGGGGGAAATATCAAACTGCGTTCCCAACCCATTTGGAACCCCCAGCAATTTCCAAAAATTCCTAAAATTGTCTCCAGCCCCTGTAAGACAATCCACCAAGCATCTTTGTATAACATTGAGCATTTAAAACACTAATACTGAGGTGGGTAGATTGCCTAAACTCAGGAGTTCAAGACCAGACTGGGCAACATGGAGAAACTCTGTCTCTACAAAAAATACAAAATAATTAGCCAGGTGTGGTAGTGTATACCTGTAGTCACAGCTACTTGGGACGCTGAGGTGGGAGGATCAATTGAAATCAGGTGGGAGATCAAGACTACAGTGAGCCGTGATTGTGCCACTGCACTCCAGCCTAGGTGACAGAGTGAGACCCTGTGTCTAAAAAAACCCAGACAAAACCCAAAAACCCCAATAACCTAATTATTTAACCTGGAGTGAACATAATAGAGGGTATGTGTGTCCGGACTCATCGGGAATGCTTCCTTTCTTCCCTGTGACCTAAGCAAATGGGGAAATATTATGTTAAAGATATACAATGGGCCAGGCGCAGTGGCTCACACCTGTAATCCCAGCACTTTGGGAGGCTGAGGCAGGCGGACCACGAGGTCAGGAGTTCAAGACCAGCCTGGCCAACATGGTGAAACCCCATCTCTACTAAAAATACAAAAATTAGCTGGGCATGGTGGCACATGCCTGTAATCCCATCTACTCAGGTGGCTGAGGCAGGAGAATTGCTTCAACCAGGACCTGGGAGGCAGAGGTTGCAGTGAGCCAACATCATGCCACTACACTGTAGCTTGGGCTCTAGCATAAGACTCTGTCTCAAAAAAAAAAAAAAATGATGTACAATGCATGCAAGTAAGACTTAGCAAAGTGAAATAAGCAAGGGGACTTTTAATAATGGTTGTTTGCTGATTGGAGAGTCATCTGAGTGAGGGGCAGCCCCACTATTTCCCCTATCTCTCTGACTCCTGACCCACCCAGGTGCTTCCCCCTGCAGCCCTGAGCGAGCTGCCTCTGGTTTTCAGGGATCGGTGAGTGTAGACTCTTTCCTTTCTGGCAATCATTCCCATGTCTGCATGTCTTAGCATCCCAGATTATAGCAACTCCCAGGTGTGTGAAAACATCAGGCTTGTTTGTGGGGCAGAGTCTTGGCTGTGGGGCAAGGCAGAAGATATGTGTCCTCCTTCCTGGCACTCACAGGGCCGTGGGGAATGAAGCAAGTGGAGTGCGGTGAGGTGGGGACTGAAACGGGAAGGGCCACCGCAGGAGCCCTGGGGGCTTAGAGGAGCCACAGCCCCCACTGCTGCAAGCCAGAGAGAGGCTTCTCAGAGGAGGGAGATTAGAAGTACATGGTGGGGAAGGGGCAGACGTCTGCCAAGGGCACCCACAAAGGTCATGCAGGAGGAAGCGCTGTGGATGAGAGACCAGGGCCCGTCCAGAGACTGGCCAGTGAGAATAGGAAAGACTGCTGACATCCACAGGGCCTGGTCATGGCAATCGTGCTGAAACCGGCTAGGCTGTCTGCACCCTTCCCATTAGGCAAAAGGAGCCACTCAAGAGGATTCCACCCAGCTGATGCCAGTTTCAGCTGAATCTGGTCTGTGGCTGGGGGCAGATTGGGAGAAATCAATGCCTTACTCAGTTTGTGTTGATGGGATCAATGGCGGCTGCCATTGGCAGATGTTGCATCTGGGATGAAGTGAAGGGAGAAGTTTGGAGCCAGGGCTTGGTGGCTGCAATGTGTATGTGTTGGGAGAGCAATAAGCCCGGGAGCTCCCTGGTTCCGGCTTGGAAGCTAGGTGAGTGCTGGAGCATTTCGAGGAGCAGGGCCACAATGTCAGCCCTGGGTTTGGGAGTAGACACATCTTGTGAGAAGAAGGCATCCTGGCCTGGTGCAATGGCTCACGCCTGTAACCCCAACACTCTGGGAGGCCAACGAGGATTGCTTGAGCCCAGGGGTTCAAAACCAACCTGGGTGATACGGTTTGCATCTGTGTTCCCACCCAAATGGCATGTTGAATTGTTAGCCCGATGCTGCAGGTGGGGCCTGGTGGGAGCTGATTGGCTCGTGGGGGAAGACTTCTCCCTTGCTGTTCTCGTGATACTGAGGGAGTGGCTGTCAGATCTGGTTGTTTAAAAGGGTGTGGCCTCTCCCCACCCTCTCTTCTTCCTCCTTCGGCCCTGTGAGATGTGTCTGCTTCCCCCTTGCCTCCACTGTGATTGTGAGTTTCCCGAGGCCTCCCCAGCCATGCTTCCTGTATAGTCTCTGGAACGGTGAGTCAATTAACCCTCTTTTCTTTATAAATAACCTAGTCTCAGGTAGTTTTTTATAGCAATGCGAGAACAGACTAATACACTAGGAAACATAGCAAGGCCCTGCCTCTACAAAGTAACAAAAAAAATTTAACTGGGCATGATGGTGCATTCCTGTAGTTCCAGCTACTCAGCCTGTAGTTCAAGCTTCTCAAGAGGCTGAGGCGGGCGTGCTGGAGCCCAGGAGGTTAAGGCTGCAATGAGCTATGATTGAGCCACTGCACTCCAGCCTGGGTGACAGAGTGAGACCCTGTCTTAAACAAAAAGGCCAGGCATGGTGACTCACACCTGTATTCCCAGCACTTTGGGAGACCGAAGTGGGTGGATAACGTGAGGTCAAGAGTTCAAGACCAGCCTGACCAACATAGTAAAACCCCCATCTCTACTAATAATACAAAAATCAGCCACCATGGTGGCAGGTACTTGTAATCCCAGTTACTTGGGAGGCTGAAGCAGGAGAATCACTTGAACCTGGGAGGCAGAGATTGCAGTGAGTCAAGATTGTGCCACTGCATTCCAGGCCTGGATAACAAAGTGATCCTCTGTCTCAAAAAAAAAAAAAAGAAAAAAAGCTGGGCACGATGACTCACGCCTGTAATCCCAGCGCTTTGTGAGGCTGAAGCAGGTGGATCACCTGAGGTCAGGAGTTCGAGACCAGCCTGGCCAACATAGTGAAACCCATCTCTACTAAAAATACAAAAATTAGCCAGGCTTGGTGGCAGATGCCTGTAATCCTGGCTATTTGGGAGGCTGAGGCAGGAGAATTTCTTGAACCCAGGAGGTAGAGGTTACACTGAGCTGAGATCATGCCACTGCACTCCGGCCTGGGTGACAAGAGAAAAATTCCGTCTCAAAAAAGAGAAAAAGAAAAAGGCATCCTGAATTTAGTCACAGGGACATTTGAAGGCACCTGTGCTGTATTCTCACCAATTTAGTCCAACTTCATCAACTCCTTTCCCTGCCTCTCCAATGCTCCCTCCCTGTCTTTTGTTCTCCTTCTCTCCTCCCTAAAATATGTTTTGAGCATCAAGTATTGCGCAGCCTATACATGACATTAAGGAAAACTTGGCAATAGTTATAGGTGACATAAAATTCATTAAAGAGATCTCGGTTTTAACTTTACTTCTCAGAATGTGAATCTATTTCTCCAAAACTAGGGTGGAATGCTGAATAGAGGCACATATGAGAGAGAAAGCTCTCGGCTGGGTGCTGTGGCTCATGCCTATAATCCCAGCACTTTGAGAGGCCAAGTTGTGAGGATCACTTAAGCCCAGGAGTTTGAGACCAGCCTGGACAAGATGGCCAAACCCAGTCTCTACCAAAAAAAAATTTTTTTTAAGAAGCAAAAATTAGCCAGGTGTGGTCACATGCACCTGTAGTCCCAGCTACTTGAAAGGCTGTGGTAGGAGAATCGCTTGAGCTCAGGAGACAGAGGCTGTAGTGAGCCAAGATTGTGCCACTGCACTCCACCTTGGGTGACAGCAAGACCCTGTCTCCAGGAGGAAAAAAAAAGTCTGCCCATATGAGTCGAGCAACCTCACAGAGATATCTTATCCTGTCTGAGCTTATTTTCCCAGCTCTAAAATACAATTTCAAGTCTCCCATGGGGTGTAGTAGGGCCCAGTGAAATTACTCTGCTAGGGCTATTATCTTCCTTCTCATAGCAGTTCTTATTTTTGACTTTGGAGGTATTAAATATTCAGCCCGTGCCAGAGTGAGGATCTCCTTCTCACCTTCTGTCTGAATTGTGCTTTGAGTCTCCGTTCCATGATGGGTGTGAACTGGGTGAGACTCTTTTTGCAGAACCAAACTCTGGCAACTCCATGCTGCCTGAACTCCAGCCGGTTTCCATAGCCTGAATCCTTCCTCTCTCATTTGCAGACAACTTTCTTAGTAAATGATTACAAAGCAGAATGCGGTCCCTTCTCTAAGAGATATGACTCAGAACAAATTGTAGCCGCATTTTCCTCCTCATTTTTCTCCTCTGTGGTGCATGCTTCATCATCTTAAAGATCTCTTTGTTTGACAGTCAAGTGCATTAGTGTAGACAAGTGTGATATTTCTTCTCTCTTGTAATAATTATTTCCTCTTATAATTTCTGAGTTGTGTCATTGTTTCTAACGTGATTCCCAGACCTTGAACATAAAGATTTCTGCTGGACTCCACTAGCAATGTTACATGCAAAACGAATGACATCAACAGAACAGAACAGACTTGTAGAACGATCTGGGAAGAAAGTAAATAGGAAGATCATAGGCAAGCTTATAGAGTGATCAGCTAAGCAGGAAGAGCATTGCTCTGCAAGAAAAATACCTACCTCTTCATTTAACAGTTCCAAGCAAAGGCAGTGTGTTCATCAAGGTTTGGGGCAGCTTGTATCATCTCTAATTATAATTTTTAATGGTGGTAACCTGATGATTGCATTCACAATGTTTATCAAAAGGTCTGAGGGGCCACCAAGGAATTCTTTCAGTGTTGCTCTGTACCACTAATGAAGTTGCAAGGCTCTCAAATGCAGAGGGGACATAAAAGCAGTGGCAGTAAAAGAGCTTAAACTCCCCTAGCTCAGAGTGCTTGTATACTCCATCACTGGCCATCAATAAGCACTTTGCTCTGAGCACATCAGGTGGTGTTAGCAACCTGTCGATTTGATGGAGGTGAGCCTAGAGGCCAGGAAGTCACTGATGGGCTAGGGCTAGAGTCACAGGTGATGGTGAGACTCAGCCTACTCAAAGTATGGTCCCCAGACCAGCTGCCTGGGCGTCACCTAGGAGTTTGTGAGAGGTGCAGAATGAGGCCACCCAGACCTGTGATACCAGAACCTGCTAAGGGTGCTGGGTATGGTGGTTCACAACTGTAATCCCAGCAGTTTGGGAGGCCAAAGTGGGCAGATCCCTTGAGATCAGGAATTTGAGACAAGCCTCTCCAACATGGCAAAAGCGGTCTCTACCAAAAATGCAAAAATTAGCCAGATATGGTGGTGCACACTGGTAACCTTAGCTACTTGAGTGGCTGAAACAGAAGAATCACTTGAACCCAAGAGGCAGTGGTTGCAGTGAGCTAAGATGGCACCACTGCACTACAGCCTGGGCGACAGAGTAAGACTCCGTCTCAAACAAACAAACAAAAACAGCTAAGGAACAAGATGCACAGGTGACCCAGGTGCTCGTTAATGTTTAAGAAACAGGTTTAGGAAACAGCTTTTGGAGAAATCAAGAGAGGGGTAGGAATGATCAGGTAAGAGGTGGCCCTAGAACGTGCGGCTGTGACCAGCATGACCTTGTCTTAGCTAATTGCACCTGCAATTAAACCTTTTGTCCAAATAAGACCTCCTTCTGAGGTTCCAAGTGGACATGAATTTGGGCAAGGACAGCATTTAACCCAGTGCAGAGGAGAAGACTTGCAATACCCACAGACAGGGCATTGGGACTCCTGAGCACTCCTGGCTGGGGCTACTACAGGAGGTTCCATTTCCATGTGCATTAAAAAAAAAAAATGTCGGGGCGTGGTGGCTCATGCCTGTAATCCTAGCACTTTGGGAGGCCAAAGTGGGTGGATCACAAGGTCAGGAGTTCAAGATCAGCCTGGCCAAGATGGTAAAACCCCGTCTCTACTAAAAATACAAAAATTAACCTGGTGTGGTGGCGCATACCTGTAATTTCAACTGCTCTAGAGGCTGAGGCAGGAGAATCGCTTGAATCCAGAGGCAGAGGTTGCAGTGAGCCCAGATTGTGCCGCTGCATTCCAGCCTGGGCAAC